TAATGTGAACTTTATGCATGCACACTCATACTTAGAGCCTACAACAGACCTGGTTCTGTGCAACCCTAAAAACACACAACACATTAGAAGGTGATGCGAGAAAAGAATTAAGAGTAAATGAGGAAGAAAGTCTGCAGGTGCCTACTTCTTGTATCCAGGTAGTTGGTAGGTATCACATTATTATGTCTCATCAGCTCCAACTTCATCCTTGCAGAAATCTGTGATACTGACTGGTGGGTGGTCACAAAGACACTGGAAATCTTTGTCTGGGTCTGCAACATCATGCAGCATAGGTAAAAGCATTGATATGACATTCAAGCAATAGCAATGCAACGTCATGTGTATTTACTAATTATTCACTCATGACTGATATGAGTGTCAGTTCAGAGTTGAAGTTATAGATTTTTATTATCTAAATAACTTTTCACAAGAGTTTTTATACAGCACAACTAAACCTTTTATAAAGACTGGTTCTATTATATGTAACCAGCTGTTTTAATTCACATTTTAAATGACACTGAAGTGATATCAGTTGAAATCAATCCTCTAGAAAAGGATTAGAAAAGCTACTATGGATGTAAATGCATCTATGATAGACAATGTTTAACTGTTAATGTGGAAAACTGGAAAATAAAGCACTGTCCAAATCATGTTCAGGAGTGGTTTCATTCCAAATAGCCATGCTCTCCCTTTTAATTGTTGGCACCCCTATCATATGACGCTGACCTTCCAGATGGTAGTAGGTAAGTATTTTCATGTGTGCAAATGCATGACAGTGTAAAATATACACCAGGTTCATAGTGTGAAATTAAGTTCTCACATGAAAAATGTGTGTTTAAGTGTGTTTATGCATGCCTCAAAGGATCCCAGAGTCTGCAGTCCCGTTCATTCCTGAGGTCGGTCTCCGGAACAACCTCTCCTGCAGGCATCTGAGGACGTCCTCCCAACCAGCTGCCTCTCCAGTTCCCTGTCCAGTGTTGTGAACAGCCTCCACCTGCTCCACCGCTGCTGCTGCAGCCTCTGCCTGTCCCCAAGCAGCAGCAGCCTCCCTCTGTTCCTGATCCTGAGCTGGTCGGTTGGACTGCCGAAGCCATCTCCATTCCTGTCCCTTCGTAGTCCACTGAGACTGAGAACCCCAGGTGTGCTGACGAGAGCATCCCTGCCAAGGTCCCAAGTCCTCAGTGAACTGATGAGGACACACCTGCCAAGGTTTCTGTTCCTGATCCAGTGCAGCTCAGCTGGACAGCCAACGCCATCTCCGTCTCTTGGCCTGATAGTGCGGATGTCCCCACTGAGACTGAGAACCCCAGGTGTGTCAATATGAGTGTTCCCACCAAGGTTCCAAGTCCTCAGTGTGCTGACAAGGATACGCCGGCCGAAGTCTCTTCCCCTGCCCCTGAGCATGTCATTTGGGCTACTGACACCACCCTGCCTCCAGCTCCCGAGTGGGATGGTGACGACACCGACACTACCTCAGTTCCAGTTCCTGTTTCCTTGTGGGTTGACAAGACCTCGGCTACTGCTTTTGACCAGTCTCTTAGCTAATCATTGGCCCTGTGACTCAGCTTGCCACTGAGTCTGCAGTCCCCTGTTTGTTCCCGAGGTCAGTCTACAGAATGGCCTCTCCTGCATGCATCTACCAGATGCCATGGATGTCCTCCCGACTGCCCGACTGGCTGCCTCTCCAGTTCCCTGTCCAGCCCCATGGATGTCCTCCTGAACGACCTCTTCAACAGCTCACCTGGCTCCAAGGTCGAACATCCGAGCGACGCCTCCATTGGCCTGTCTGGACCCAAGGCCATCCTCCTGAGCAGTCTTTTCGTCCTCCTGCCTGGTTCCATGGCCATCCTCCTGAGCGGCTACCCTGAATTCCTGTTTGGTTCCAAGGCCATCTTCCTGACTGGCCTCTTTGATCTCCTGCCTGGTGTCGAGGCCGCCCTCCCTGGTGACCTCTCCACCCCACTGCCTCACGCCAGGGTCATCCACACAGAACATAACAAGACGCCAAGATGCAGACACCCAGACTCAGAGCAAAAGAATCTGTATTTATTATATGACAAACAGGGGGGAAGACATATACACCCAGCAGGTCTCCCAAACGGAGGAGAGGGTTGACTAGACAGCTGGAGAAATTGATGTAGTGGTAACCAGGGAGCTGTAGAGGTCGGGAGGAGAGGTGGCTGGGCTGGAGAGGAAGGCACACCACACTGGAGATCAGGAAACCTGGTAAGTATGCAGGTTAATGGTGTGACAGGAGGAGAGTTTGGATCGGTTTGTTTGACAAGATAAAGAATAGATATACATAAAACTTGGCATAATATTTCCATATCTCATTAAATCAATAATTCTAAGAGAGGTTTATATCAAACACAAATGCTCCACCCACACAGGAAGCAGTGAGGCCAAGAGTTCATGCCAAGGAGCTGAACATGAGCCAGTCTACTCCCTCCAAGTGAAAATGTACTGTACATGCTGTATATGAGGCACGAATGGTGTGGGTGTGTGGTGGTTGAGAGGCCCTTAAAATATGACTGGACACTGAAACAAAAGAATTTATTTGTAAATGTGAAAGAGCTGGTGGTGAGTGGGGAGAAAACAAGGCTCCCAGTGGTAATACCAGTGCCTATCCACCACTCCCCACTTGGATTCCTTGACTCTGCAGGCACACTCTCTCACATCGCTTCAGATGAGGGGAACCTAGACAACTGTAGTAATGTGTCAGTCACTGCTGTCACTATAGGGAGCTGAAGAATCAAGGTCTTCACAAACATGTCACATCCTGAATGTAATTAAATACAATATAGGTCTTAAAGGTGGAATACTAGTGTGTAGTAAATGCACTCAATGGTCATTTTAAAAGCTGGTTTCTGCAGTTCACGGGTCACTCTGGAACCAGTTCACTCTCTTCAGACTGAGTCCAGCAGTCAGTAAGATACTGTAACTAGCCAGTCTGACAGATGCTACCATCAGCTGCTTGTGTAACGGGCTCTACCGGGTGCAACACTCCTTGGCCGTCGGCGGGGTTAGTGTACTCTGCGTTGTGTTATATGTTGAAATAATGGCACTGACCACTGTTGTCACACCGGTTGACTTTAATTATCCCAAGGGTAATTGCAAAGAAAAATAAAATGAGTCACAGCACATGGGGTGATCATCTGCTACATGCGACTCTTCTCTCAGCTTGGAGAGCACAAACTCGAGTTACACCCATCCATCCATCCATTTTCCTCCGCTTATCCGGGACCGGGTCGCGGGGGCAGCAGTCTAAGCAAAGATGCCCAGACTTCCCTTTCTCCAGACACTTCCTCCAGCTCCTCCGGGGGA